GATTTTGGTGTTTTCCTTCTTGCACACCTAGACCATTAAATGCCTTGGCTGTATTACAGTTGTGTTGTTTTGCTGAACATCATCATTATATTAATGATTACTTTCACATGTTGCCTAAGGTTTCTCTTTATATAAATACTCATGAGATTTCTAATGACTTCTTCCAGAAAGCAAAAAATGCAAAGTACCAGTACAAGAAGAAAGCACGGATTCTGATTCTAGTCTTGCCAAATGCAATCTTGTGTGAGTTACTGTCTACGACTCCATGCTGCTTTTATCCACTGGTATCCAGTGACATACATTGACCCAGTGTCCCCTCTGGAGCATGGAGTGAGCTGTCCATGAACTTTATGCACTTCATCAAGAGACCAGGGGACTGTGGGCCTGCAGTTATATATTGCTTATTTAAAGGACATTTTCATTTCCTTACCATTTCATGACAAAATGTTTCTGTTTAATTATCCTGGACGAACACAAACTTTAATACCCAAGTGACAGCCATACAGGTTACTTGTCCTTGCCTTCCAAGTGCAGCTCTGGGGTTTGGAATTGTCCTCGAAAGTATTTGTACTCGTAGATCTACCTGGTTTTCAACACTTCATGCTGTACATTAAAATGCATTTTTTTTAATTGTAACATAAAAGTATGTAAAACATATATATCTAAAACAAAGTTTTCCCAGCACTCAGCCTTGTTACTCAGGAAAAGAAGCCTATACAAAGCCTGCTTCAAATAGTTCAGTACTCATAGCGGTCTTGGCTTGCTACATTTGCGTATTGACAGAAAAGTCACACCCACCACATCAAGGTGCCTGCCCTCTGTATGGACTGCAGTCTATCACTTACCACCAGAACCAGCACCAACGAGTAGTGGAGTAGTTGGAAATAGTTGGAGATATGTTAAAAATTTAGTTACGCTTAGCTTTTGATAGGGATGAGCTTGAGTTTGGTTGGAACTAGTTTCGGTCTGAACCCAGGAGGTAGCTAACAGTGTTGGGCCTATCTAATCTTGGTGGGGGATTCCCCAAAGCCATATGTACGCCATGAGGCTGTGATGTTCATGATATCATTGACCTGATAGGGCCACATGATTACGTTAGATCAATGACATTCACCTATATGGCCATGTGGCCGTATTAGATCAATGATGCCATGAACATCCCCACCACTTTGTGCACATGCATCTGTAAGTTGGGGAACTCCCTGCCCACAGCTGAGTGGCCTGGCGCTGACAGCTACCTCCTGGATTTAGAACCAAACTCAAGTTCATCCTTAGTTCTTGTTCATAATTATACCTTTTATGCCATTTTTTTGGACTGTCAGCACATAATTAATTTTGCATCTAAAGTGGTTGTAAACCTCAGACATGAAATATGAGCAAAGCATATCCTGCATTGTCATTTCTGTCCACTGCCTCATTTCTCTGTTATAAGAAAGAGTCACTTCTGATGGGTTTTCCTGACACCAAGAGAAAAATGGCAACAGGGGAGGGCACAGCCTGTGATTGAGACAGCCTTAGACCTGTTCCTGTGTAAAAGGGGTGTGTCCCTTCCCTCCAATCAGCTATCAGAGTTCTCCTCACTGATGTAACTTTAGATCTCCACCCCTTGCTTTTCAAAACTGAGAGATCCTGTGTAAATTCTGTACTTTGAATGGATGTAGGGGAAAGACAGCTCCAGATAGTTACATAGTTAGTCTGGCTGAAAAAAGACAAAAGTTCATCCAGTTCAACCATTAAAAAAAAAAAAAAAAAGTTATAATCCTACACACACAGTTGATCCAGAGGAAGGCAAAAAAAAACCCAGCAAAGCATGATCCAATTTGCTCCTGCAGGGGAAAACATTCCTTCCTGATCCCTGAGAGCAAACGACAGGTACAACTTATGTATGAGGATTATTTGTTTCATCTCTGTGTATCACCTGAGACCAGTCGCTTCACTGAGTATATGTGAGAATTTACAACTACTTTAAAATGTATCTCAGTGACTTGGGTCATGCTGGAACTCACAGTGAGCACCTCATTCACTGGCTGATCCTTGGCATATTGTGGGCTGGTTATTTGTGGGCCATATTGTATTTCATTTGTTTAAATTTAATGTGCATTTTGTGAAGGTTTTTACTTTTTTGTGGATACTCAGTTTATGTGTTCATATTTTTGACCTACTGTATATGTATTAATAAAGTGTTCACTTTTTGATATCATTTTTGTATATTTAATATTGAATTGTCTGCACTGGCAAATTGTAGCTTGTAGACACATGACTTCTTATGAGATGAGACTGCTGTGACCCTTATTGGCCTTGTTGTCAGCCTTTGTTTATGCACTGGGATCCTGGGGTTCCATTTATTTAAGTAGCAGAGACACCAAAGGCCCTTATGCAAGAGAAGTTTCGCCCCTCCCTACTCGATGCCCAATCACTAACATCTGTTCCATGTATTTAGATACATAGAAAAGTCCACACCCCCTCTGAGGAAGTCTCTATGGGCAAAATGCGTCAGAGTTTTGAGGTCTTGTGTGTCCATGCTGAACATGCAACAAGCTCCCTAGGACTAATAAAAGAAGTAGCCCAGTATAAAGTGGCTGTGTTGTTAGCACCGGATGGATCCATGGTAATATCTCCAGGCTAATGTATGGTGTTAACTTTAGAAACTACAGCTAAAGAGCCCATAACACTAGTCCAGAAGGAGTCTAATCTGAGTTGTTTTGGAAGTTACCCCCTGAGTCCTCATGAAGGGTTTTGGTAAGGCCTTCTGAGGATTTTTGATTGCTGATCTCTATTTCTCATTCATATGGAAGAGCCTATCTTGGCTTGAGATTATCTATCTGTGTAATCGGGGAATAGCTGAGGGACTGCTGCTTTAAGGCTACATGTACACTAGCCTACCCTGACCACAGGGAAAATGAAAAACGTTCCTATCCTGAACACGATTCTTCCACGTTCAGCAGAGGGAGGTTTAACCTCATCTAAATGAGGAAGCTCCTAAACTCTGCTAGAAGCCTATGTGTACATGGACATGTAGGCTTTTATGGAGTTGAGGATATGAGCTTTGGCCAAAACAAAATGCCAAAAGCTCCTGGACTGAAGTTTAGGAGCTGCCAATGTACATGAAGCCTTACTCTGGCATGCGTCCATAGTATGCAGTGTCCCAGCTCCATATTCTGTGCAAGGTACCTCCCTTTGCACTACAGCTTGGATGTCTTTATTGAATATCAACTTATTGGCTGGTCACCTCTTTTAACTCCAACTGTAGCAACTACCAACAGCAGCAGTTGCCATTAACAATGGGGTAATACCTGTATCATTTATGGATCCCAATGTTTTTTCTACATCAAGTTGTGGACATTACTAATCACACCAGGGCACCCAGTTGGCAACACGGCTTGAGGGTAGGGCTCAAGATAACATCGTATATAGGAAACAAAAAGAGGGCGCATGGGCCTAGTGCATTACCTTTAACTGCTTGCCATCCAGCCACTGTGTAAAAACGGTCACAGGGTGGCACCGCTGCGCAAAATCACGTTTTAAAGCGTCATTTTGCAAAACAGGTAGGGGGTGCACGCGAGACGCGCGACCGCCCAATCCGTGCCACCGCTCACGGCCGCGGGTGTCAATCACCGGGTCTCGGCCGGTCATTAACTGCCGGGTCCAGGCGATTGCCAGCAAACAGTGACACAGAGCACAGCTGCATTGTTTACAATGCAGTTCTGCTCCCTGTCAGTTCCTAACACACTGTTCCTGAGAGCGGAGTTTAGCTCTCGGGATCAGCGTGTTCCTGTGAAGTACACACCGCCGCCCCCTAGTAAAACACTCCCCTCACACAGTTAACCCTTTGATTGCCTAAAAAAGTTAACCCCTTCCTCCCCAGTGCCATTAGTACAGTCTCAGTGTTTTTTTTTTACGCTGATCACTGTATTGGTGTCACTGGGGATGTCAGTGACAACAAGTCAGTTCCCCCCCAGTGTAAAAATGTCTGTCGCAGTCCCGCCATAAGTCACTGATCACTGTCATAAACCGCTGATCGCCGCCATTATTAGTATATAAAAAAAAATCCCAGTATCTTTCCCGCCATTTGTAGATGCTATAACTTTCACGTAAACCAATTCATTTACACGTATTGGGATTTTTTTTTAGCAAAGACATGTCGCAGAATACATTTTGGCCGAAATTTTTGACGAAATTTGATTTTTAAATTTTTTTACTGTCCAAAATATTGTTTTTTTTTCTTAAAATTGTCAACCTTTTTTTTTTATACAGTAGTGCAAAAAATAAAAAACGCACAGGCGATCAAATACCACTGAAAGAAAGCTTAATTCATGGGAAAAAAAGACGTAAATTTAATTTGGGTGCAGTGTTGCATGACCGCGCATTTGTCAGTTAAAGTAACGCAGCGACGTAACACAAACCGCTTCTGTAACCGCTTCCTGACCAACCTATAGCAGAAATACTGCCACAGGGCGGCATGGGTGCGCAAAATCACACACACACACATATATATATATATATATATATATATATATATATATATATATATATATATACACACACATGATTTTCACGTCCCTCCCAGATAGCGTCAGATTGCCCATCAGTACACCAGTCAACACATTTAACCCCTTGATTGCCAGGAGCACGCTCATGCACAATAAACCTCCATTGCTAGCATAGTGTCTGAACGGATCAATATCTTTGATCAGATCAGCACTATACCAGCATTCACATTAGTATAGTGTCCCCAAAAATGCAGCGTTAGCGGGATAAGCCCCGGCACCTGCCAACACCTGCGTTTAGCCCCTACACTTACACCCCCTTCTCCCCCAGCAAGTGCAGTGTCAGTAGGTCACTGTCACTTGATAGATTGCACACAAAACCCACAGTGTTCGCAGAATCAGGCCTGATCTCTGTTAGCACTTGCCGGTAAATTGTGATGACTCTCATATGCAGCAGAGTGCCTGTACTAGTGCCGTGCTACCTTTTGGTGAACTGGCGAGTACCAGTGGTCTAGTACATCTTGGTCTTTCACATACCTCTTGGATTGTAAGCTCCCAAGATCAGGGCTCTCCTAACCCTCTTGTATTGAACTGTATTGTTGCTGTATTGTCTCCCGTTATACTGTAAAGCGCTGAGCAAACTGTTGGCACTATATAAATCCTGTATAATAATAATAATAATAATAATAATACCAGCACTGCAGTATGACTTGGTGACGTGGTGAGTCCCATAAGTCCAGTACAAGCTGGTGCGGTGGCGAGCACAAGTAGTGTCCCGCAACCACCAAGAATTCGCACACAGGAGGACCATAGAGCTCCTAGTATCCTTCCAATACTTACAAATCCCGATTGACAGCCCACAAATTCTGCAGCACCCTTTACTTCTCCCATTCACTGCCCAACCTGGAATTCAGGTGAAAATAGCAAATTTAACTGCTACCCTTGATTTTTGGAGCTGTTTTTCATGGAATATCTGTGTGCATTGATTGTGGATCAAAGCAATTTATATGCATAACAATTTATCGCCACAAACCCAAATTCAAACCTTGCCAGACCAGTTGCATGGAAACTCATTACGGTTTCCGAATTTACATTTTTTTTGGGCCTAACCCTCAACATGGGCATTACTAAAAAAATATTAATTGCGGTTGTATTGGTCCGCAGACCCGATTCATCATATGCCGTGTTCTCTGCTGCCATGGCCAGGCATAGATATGAGAGTGAAATGTGTTTTATGCATTTCAATGACAACACACTCTGTCATCCTCGGGGTGACCCTGAATTTGATTGGCTCCACAAAATCCAGCCCCCTCGTAAATCACCTTAACCAAAAATTTGCAGATTTCTATACTCCCAAGCAAAACATATGCGTTGGTGAGTCCTTCATTAATTTTTCTGGCCACTTTGCATTCAAACAATTTCTCCCCAGCAAGCGTGCCAGATATGGGGTCAAGATGTAGAAGACCTGTGAGAGGACAACAGGCTATACTTATAAGTTTCAGGTTTATGAGGGAAAAGATAGTAATGTGGAGCCCCCCGGATGCCCACACTACATGAGGAGCAGTGACAAGATAGTTTGGGAGTTGGTGTCATCCTTTTTCCATATGGGGTACCACTTATACGTGGACAATTTTTATTTAAGTGTGCCACTATTTAGACATTTGTACAATCTTGGAACTAGCGCTTGTGGCAAAGTGTGACCTAATGTGTGTGCCCACCATTAGAAGTGGGTTTATGCAGGGCGGTATATTCTAATGGTGGGCATACCACACACTTTTTCTGGCAGAGATTTCTTCTCTTTTTTCATTCAGTTCACAGGCTGCATACAAAAAAAAAGAACATAGTATATATATACCCAACAAGGACCAGCGACGTACCGGTACATCACTGGACTTTGAATGGTTATACCAAGATGATGCCTACAGCTGCAGGCATTATCCTGGTATCGTTTTTTTCAGCCAGCAGTCGGCTTTCATGTAAAAGTAATCCTAGTGGCTGCAGGATTGCTTTTACAAGCAGCAGGATATGATGCCACCCTCCCCTGCTGCCTTCTCGGGCAGTCCCGTGCCATCAGGGGAACCTGAGAATGCAGCTGGTGTTTCTGCCAGCTGACCATAGAGCTGATTGGAGACCAGAGTGGTGCCAATCATCTCTATAGTCTAAGAATTCGGAAGCTACGAGCATTTCATCACTTCAGTTTCGCAGGATATAAACAGTGCCATTTGTAAATTGGGAAAGCATCTGATCACTTCTTCAAACCAATTTCTGTGGACATTTTGATTAGATAATGTAAGGGCAGAGGAGATATCTAGAGCCTGATAGACTCCAGATTTCTCAAAAAATAATATATGACAATGCCCATTGAAGTTATAGGGGATATTTTCATTCCCTGTGATAGCATTAAAAGTGAATGAAAGGTACAGTGTAAAAATAATTAAAAAAATCAAAATAACTTAAAAAAAAAAAAAACTCGCCCCTCCCATGCACGCACACCTGTGTGCCCAAGCGTTGATCCTGTGCCGGTATGTAAACAGCAGGTGCACCATACATGTGAGGTATTGCAGTGAACGTCAGATCAAGGGCAGTAATTCTAACACTAGACCTCCTCTGTAAATCTAAAATGGTAGCTTTTAAAGGCTTTTAAAGCGTTGCCTATGGATATTAAAAATGTATGTAGTTTGTCGCCATTGCACGGAGCATGCACAGTTTTAAAGCATGTCATGTTTGGTATCTATTTACTCGGCATACCATCATCTTTTATATCTTACCAAATAAATAATTTAAAAGTTTTTTGTCATTTTCCAGAAACTTGTGGAAAAAAAATAAATCTTACATGGACTCAATATGCCTCTCAGCAGATAGCTTAGGGTGTCTACTTTCCAAAAAGGGGTAATTTGAGGGTGTTTGTACTATCCTGGTATTTTAGCACCTCAAGAAATGTGATGAGCAGTCAGAAAGTAAAAGCTGTATAAATTCCATTATCTGTGTCTGTCAGGAATGGACTTTCCAGTAATGGTGGGACTCACCTGCCTTGTGGGCTGCAGTACCAGGGCTGGCCAGCGGGTGCTCTCAGCAATCAGAGACTCAACCCTGTAGTCAGCCAAACACCTGAAGCTGATTATGCAGGTGTATTTAAGGGATGGCCAGACCTGCAGTCTGAGCCTTGGTGTGTGCTTTTCTATGGGCCCCTGTTCCTGTTCCTGTTCCTGTCTGACTGATTTGTTGCTGACCCTGCTTGATCCGGACCTCTGCTGGCTTCTCCTGTTTGATCCCTGGCTTGTGACCCCGACCACTCTCTGCCTGACCCCCTGTACCTACCTGCCCGTTAGTTGCTGTACCCGGCTCGTGACCTGACTACTCTCTGCCTGCTCCTCCTGTTCCTACCTGCCCGATTGTTATTGACCCGGCCTGCCTGATGACGCTTGCATTGTACGTATTGTTATCTGTGGGTGGTTTGGTTTGGTTCATTTGCACTGTGTTATGTTTTAGTATTTGCACTGCGTTTATGTATTGTTAGTGTTAATAAATTATATTGTTTATAACATATCTGAAGCCTGCGTTTCCCTGCGTCAGTTCACATACCTCTGGTCATACCCTGGAGCTCTGACAATGCCATAGTTTGTAGACGCTATAACTTTCACACAAAGCAATCAATATACACTTATTGGGATTTTTTTTACCAAAAACATGTAGCAGAATGCATTTTGGCCTAAATTTATAACTAACTTTGAGTTTACTATATATTTTTATATAGCTGAAAGTAAAAAATATCATTTTACTTCCAAATTTTCGGTCTTTTTTTTTGTTTATAGCATGAAAAATAAAAAGCGCACAGGTGATCAAATCCCACTGAAAGAAAGCTCTATTTGTGTGAAAAAAAAAGGACTTAAATTTCGTTTGGGTGCAGCATTGCATAACCGCGCAATTATCAGTTGAATTAGTGCGGCGCCGAGTAGCAAAAAGAGGCCTCGCCATTAAGATTTGGGGGGAGGGGGGGGGGGGGATAAATCCTCAGGAGTGCAAGTGGTTAAAAATTAAATTTATATATAAATAGTAAAATACTCACAAGAGAAATAAAATCAAGTGGAAAGCTTGTCACAAAGGATGAAATGTGGTCCAAAAACCCCTGAAGGTGGTCTGGTGGGGGACTGTAGACCTCTAGATAGCTGGTGGCTGACACGTTTCGAGGTTGTGCCTCTTCCTCAGAGACAAGTCAGAAGTCTGTGTCTCATGGTTCGTTGTTGCTGAATATAGGGAGCCATTTATATGTGCAGGCACAGCAAGGGAACAATTTTAGATGTTTTTAAAAGTGTGTAGTGTGTGTGAAGGTTTTTGATATGATGAAATAAAAATAAGAGATACATTTTTAGATGAAACTGGATACACTGAAATTATAAATATATATATTTTTGAAACTTTTTGATTTTTTTGTATTATGTTGTATACCTATTAATACTGTTCAGAAGTATCTCCAGTGGAGGATCTTAATTGCTGAATTATTTGGATTAGGGAGTTTCTGGATGAACAGGCATGATATCTAGCTGAAGACTTGGGTAATTAACTATATGTGGCATAAGGATGCCATTCCCCAAAATTGATAGATTAGATAGAGCAATCTGTTTATCTGTAGCTCATGGGTCATCATACACAACCATGGTGAAATTGTAACACCCCATCTACGTCCAGTCCAGATTGTCTCAAGAGGAAATGGGAGAATATTTCTGCATATCTCAGTACTGGTCAGGTGCAAAGTGGAGGAAATGTCCAGGGCTATATGAGAGCTTCAGGGGGTCCCAGCACATGCCTGACCCACATCTAGTATTTATCGGTTCCTAGGTCCAAAAGGGCCCTTGTGCAGGTGCACAAGCTGTATGTTCACCCCTGAGCTTGATGTTTGGCGAACACATGAGCGGTGAATGCGTTCGGTGGGCTGTTCGCCCTCTGCGCCCCACGATGCACTGCTCTCTAGGGCTGTTTTTTTTTTTTCTTTAATTTTGGTGTGGGGTTTTCCTTAAAATCCACACCAGACTAAAATGGCCAGGTATGTATGGGGGGAGGGGGAGCCCCACACTGTTTTTTTTCATCATTTGTAATTGCTGGCATGTTTTGTTTACAGTCAGCTGTCAGCGGGACACCCTCTGACAGCTATGTTTTGTTTACAGTCAGCTGTCAGCGGGGACACCCTCTGACAGCTGATGAGTCATCCGTTGTTAAGGACGCCACGGCAGGTTTCATTAACAACCAGCTGCCATGTGATAAATTAACGCATGAAAATATGCAGTAATTACGGCAATACAGATATTGCAATACAGATACACGCTCCTGCACATCCCGCTCCCATGCCACCTTCCTCACCCTTCTTCTCCTAACCACCGGAGACATCTCCCCGAACCCTGGCCCCTCACCACCTCACTCCCCCACTAGGCACCCTCCTACTCCCACTAGTCGCCGCAACCCCCCCCCCTCAACCTTATACCTGTCCCCCTCCTCCCCGCATCCACCCCTCCACTCTCGGTTGCACTCCTGAACGCCCGATCGGTTTGCAACAAGCTCACCGCCATCCATGACCTCTTTATCTCCCACTCCCTCAACCTCCTAGCGGTCACCTGAAACCTTGATCCAGGCCACTGACTCCACCTCCCCTGCGGCACTCTCCTATGGAGGCCTCGCCTGGACCCAGTCACCCAGACCGAGCGGTCGTAGAGGTGGTGGGGTCGGCATGCTCCTGTCACCGCTGAGCACCTTCCAGGTCCTCCCAAACCCCCCTCCCTATCCTTCTCCTCCTTCGAGGCCCACTGCATCCGGCTCTTCTCTCCCACCCCTCTGAGGATTGCAGTAATCTATCGACCTCCTGGACCCGTATCCCGCTTCCTCGACGACTTTTCCACCTGGCTACCCTTCTTCCTCTCCTCTGAGCTACCCACCATCATCCTTGGTGACTTCAATATCCCTGTCAACGTCAACAACTCGGCTACATCCCAACTCCTCCACTTAACCTCTTCTTTCGCACTCACACAGTGCACACAGTCCTCCACCCACACCGACGGGATTAACCTGGACCTCATTTTCTCTCATCTCTGCACCCTCCACAACTTCACTAACACCCCCTTCCCTCTCTCTGACCACAACCTCATTACGTTCTCCGTCTCCCCATCCTCTAACTCCCCCCCCCAAAACGTCAAAGCATCACCAGCCGTAACCTCCGCAACCTGAACTCCTCTCCACTCGGCAGCTTACCGTCTGTACGACAGTATCCTTCCACTGTCATGCCCTGACCTGGCCACTACTGCGTACAACGACTCGCTGACAGCTGCCTTAGACTCCTTAGCACCCCTAACCACGCGTAACATCAGACCCCGACCGCTTCAACCCTGGCAGAACCTCAAATGACGCAGTCGCGCGCTGGAGCGATTATGGCGCAAAACCAGATCCCCTCGAGCGTTCTCCCTCTACAAATCCGCCTTCCTCACCTACACCTCCTCCCTCCACACCTCCAAGCAAGTCTACTTAGTAACCCTCATTAACACCCTCTCCACCTGTCCTCGCCGGCTCTTCTCCACTTTCAACTCCCTACTCTCTCCCCCCCCCCCACCCCCACCCAGTACCTCACTCACCGCCCACGAGATTGCCAATCACTTCCAAAACAAGATTGACACAATCTGTAAGGACATTGCCAATACTCAATCTACCTCCCCACCTAGCCTCCCTCCCACCATTACCCCATCAACTCTCCCCTCCTCTGACCTCACAACCGCCCTGCCCCCCCCCCACCACATCTAACATCCCGCACACTATAATCTCCCCAACACTCCGCTCCTTCAGCCCTGCTACCACTGAGGAGGTCACTAAGGTCTTCTCAGACGCCAGAAGCCTCACCACTTGCCCCCTTGACCCTGTCCCCACACAACTCCTCCAGACACCCTCCTCCTCCATCCTACGCTCCCTCACCCACATCTTTAATCTCTCCCTCTCTACTGGCGTATTCCCCTCCCCTCTAAAGCACGCGCACATCACCCCCCTACTCAAAAACCCTCCCTGGACCCCACCGACCTGAACAACCTTAGACCCATCTCCCTGCTGCCATTCACATCCAAGCTCCTTGAGCGCTTAGTCTACAATCGCCTAAGCTCCCACCTCACTGACAACAACCTCCTTGATCCACTACAGTCTGGCTTCCATCTTCTACACTCCACCGAAACCGCCCTACTCAAAAAATCACTAACGACTTGCTAACGGCCACTACTCAGTCCTCCTACTCCTCGACCTCTCCGCGGCCTTCGACACAGTTGACCACCCCTTCCTCCTTAATAAAGTACACTTCCTTGGCATCAGAGACTCTGCTCTCTCCTGGCTTTTCGCAAAATTCTTAGTGAATTGCACATTTGCAAAAAAATTACCGCATGCGTTATTTTAATGCATTTTTTCTGTCATTATTTAACTCTTAGTGAATTGACCCCAATATTGCTACTACTGCTTTTAATGTGATTTGTGTAGACATATTGGGTGTGTTTGTCAATAAGAAGTTAAACTAGATAAGTCAGGATGGCCGAGCGGTCTAAGGCGCTGCGTTCAGGTCGCAGTCTCCTCTGGAGGCGTGGGTTCGAATCCCACTTCTGACAGACATTTTTTTAGTGTAATACTACAGTAACCCTGACAGAAAACAAACCCCTTCTGCGTTACAAAATACAAAATATGCATTTCCTGTAAGAAATAGAACTGGTTCCAATTATTTATTTGCAATAAGTATAGCTGTTGTTTTTATTAGCAAAAAGTGAAGCTGTAGAATAAATGTGCAAAAAGTAAAGCAGTCAGCTGTTACTAGTTCAACTCAATTCGATATATATATATCAGAGGCAGGAAGAAGAGACAAAAGGAGGAAAGTCCCTTACAAGGTGTGTCACGTGTATTGCAGAATAATGACTGAGCCAAGATGCATGAGATGAGATGACTCCTTGACCAGCATTAAAAGACTTTGCCGAAACCCGGGATCGAACCAGGGACCTTTAGATCTTCAGTCTAACGCTCTCCCAACTGAGCTATTTCGGCTGCTATGGAAGTGTTGCCCCGGTAACATATTACAATGTATCATTTTTCTCAATATATACTATTTTAAACACATGGTAAATGATATATGATAACTATAAGATATTTGCTAGGTGAAGTAAAAAAAAATATTCAAATCGCCATTTTATCTAAATTCAATTTTATTAAATTAAGTTAAATGTTATCAAAAAAATAGGCAGTTGGGCCATGTTTTTATCACCCCCTCCCAACCGCTCCCCCTTGAACTGCAAAAGGGGGAATGCTTTGAGGC